ATTAAGTGCCGAACAAAGATTGCAAATCAGATAGCATATAGTTGCTGTGCCAACTTTGCTGCTGTTAGCAGTTTCAACAGCCTGTTTCTGAAAATTTCCTTTCACACTGACATGAATTCTATTCTACTACCTTATTGTAGAGAGGTGCTTTCCTTTCTTACCTGTGCACAAAACCCGTTACTTCTTGCTTTATTATGAAAATTGATATCATCATAAATACATTATAGATGTTAGTCCTCAATTTCCATATAAAGATTGCATCAGTTCTATCCAAGAAAAAAATCATTGATATGCAAGTATTTAAATGTGTTACTTACGCCTTCCCTATCTGTCATTAAGGATCCATGATAAAATGGGTAACCGTCAGTCTGCCAGCAGCCATCAGAGGTAAGCCAGGCGGGGTGCATGCAAGTACCATCAGGAGTTGGAGAAAGGCACAGTCCAATGTGACACATTTTCTCCTAAGGACCCATTGCTAACAGTAACGCCAGCTGTCTGTACTCTAAGGTTAATTGTCATTTCAACCTTGGGGAAATAAACCAGTTGGTAGGAAGATCTCTAACACTGCCTTTCCAATAAATGATTTTTCTTAAAGCTATCAGAAGAAATCCTGACACTGAGGATATCCCCAAGCAGTCCACAAGCTCAGTGAGATGTCTCAGCTGACCTCTGCCGGTAATGAGTCATATACTTGCGGCAGGCACTATAGCACAGTGCATTAAGCAGCCATCTGCAAAGCCAACATTTCATATGGGCAGCACTTCTGATCCACTTCCATGCTAATGTGCCAAGGGCCAAGTTTGGGGCCCTTGCATGCATGTGTAAGACCTTTGACCTGGCTCAACCCTAGTTGAAGCAGCCTTTAGGGGAATGAACCAGAAGATGAAAACAATCTGTCTCTTCCTCTCTGTAGTTCTTTGAAATAAAAAGAGAAAGACAGACTTGGAAAGGGCCACAAGTTCAACCTCCATTGCTAGTTCTCACCAGGCAAAGGTGTGATAACCCTTCAGCTTCACTGTTACAATACATGTAGTGATTGGAAAATTCCTACCTAGTCAACAATTTAGGGCAGCCATGCCTACTTAAAGGTGCCACTCTGGGGTTGGCATTATAGCCAGTTAAGCCAAAGCCTGTGATACCAGCATCCCATGTGGATGCCAGTTCTAGTCCTGGCTACTCCACTTCTAATCCAGATCTCTACTGATGCACTAAATAAAAGCACTTGGGCACCTGCAACCCACATGGCAGTCCATGATGGAGTTCCAGGGTTCCAGCTTCAGCTTGGTCTAAATCTGGCATTACAGCCATGTAGGGAGCCAGGAGGTGAACTGTCAAATCCTTCTCTCCCCATGTCTCCCTGTCCCTCTGCCTTTCAAATACATAAATAAATCTTCTGATAGATATTTATTATTTTACTTCAAAGAATTAAAGAGAGGTATCTTCCATCCACTGGTTCACTCCCCAAATGGCTTGTGTGAAGCTGGAAGCTGAGAGCCCCTTCTGGTTCTGCCACATGGTGCAGGGGCCCAGTGCCTTCAGCCATCCTCCACTGCTTTTCCAGGTCCTAAGCAGGAAGCTGGATGGGAAGTAGAGCAGCCAGGACTCCAACTAGCGCCCATATGGGATGCCATTAGACTGTTATGCCATCATGCCAGCCCTTTAGAAAAGGATAAAATTCTACAGGGTGTGGGCCATGCCCACTGGGCTAGACTATAACACCCAAAAGTGAGAGGTGAGACTGCAGGTGGACTAAGTCAGGTTAGGTTGAAGTACTCATCAGCATGTGCAAGATCCAGGACTGGGAATGAACCTGATGGGAGAATTTAGGGGATCCCCTGCTAGGCTGCAGCTCCCGCTGGAGAGCATAAGGGCTGGGGGGGCAAGGGGCAGGTCAGGCCAAGCTGGGATGCAGCACTCATCAACATGTGTGAGCCAGGTCTAGAGATGGGCTGGGATGGGCCTGTCCACAGTACATAATGGCGTGAATGACAGCCAGGACAGGGCACAGGTCACACCAATTGGACTGTAACACCCACCAGTTCGCATGAGACTTGGGGGATGGGCCAGTTGGGCTAGACTGCTACACCTGCCAGCTAGAGCTGGGAATGCAAATGGGCCAGGCTGTAACCTGCCGACTAATGCCAAGACTGGTGGCCAGCCACCTCAGACTAGGCAGTAACACCTGCTGGCATGTACAAGACCTAGGGTTAGGAGTGGGCCTGTTAGGGTAACTTCAGGGACCCCCTTGCTGGGCCCCTGCTTCCACTAGTGAGTATGAGAACTGGGACTGGGGGCAGGCTGGTTTGGGAGCAGGTTAGGCTGGGCTAAGCTGCCACATCTGCAGCTAGAATGGATATGGGCCAGCTGAATTAAGCCACAACACCAGATGGCAAGTGCCAGGATTGGGTGCAAGTCATGTCAGTCTGGACTATGGTACCTCTGGCAGGCCCAAGATCTAGAGCTGGGAAGGGGCGTGGCCCACTGGACTAAAACCATTGCCATAGGGAAAAAAATCACAAGACATGTGGCTTGGCCTTGGAGTGCATCTGTCAGGACTGGGCCTCGTCAGTTGCTGTTACCTATGCTGTGGACAGCATGCCCAGATGCATCCAGGCAGACATGCCAGCCAGCTGATCTAGGCCAGTAGGGGACAGTAGTGAAAAGCAAAAGAGGTTGGACCACTATTCTGACCAAGCTCTTCAACATGTCCCTGGGTCTGTAGATGCACTAAGGTGGACTTGGTTGGCAAATAAACCTTGGAAAGGTTCTTTGGACCTGGTGCAACAAAACCAACAATGTCTCAGGGCTATCAAAACTACTCAGGTTAACACCCTTAGACCACTCTTCTCCACACAGGGAAGGGCATCATGAAATGAGCATCCCCCATCTCCAGGTGATGATGTAGTTTGACAGCAAGGAGTGGCCCCTTCCCTTCCCTCACTGTGGTCACAGGAGAAAAAACTCTATCTTCCTACTCCACACCTTGACCCTCCACACCCTAAGTGGAGACCCACATGGGTGTGCATCCCTCTCAACTATGTAAGCAATGTTAAAAACAAAATTTTTAAAAAGTTTAAATTAAAAGGATAAACTTCAATCTCATCTTGTTACTGTAAGTTTGAACAGTTTCAAGCTATATTATATTGCTTGTTTGTTTACCAAATATACCTTGATTGCGTACTCATTCCTTAATAATCACTAACTTGGTTTAAAAATGTGTGTCTGTGTGTGGGGGGGTATCTGTTGTAGTGAGTAAAGCTGCATTCCATCCCACAGTGCCTGGGTTCAAGTTCAAGCTCATTCCCAGGGTTAAGTTCCTGATAATGTGCACACAGGGAAGCAACAGGTATGTCTCATGAATCTACCAGCCACACAGGAGACTCAGGTTGAGTTCCAGGCTCCAAGCTTCAGCCTAACCCCCAACTCCAGCTGTTTATGTGCATTTGGCGGGTGAACCAACAGATGAAAAATCTTTCAAATAAATTTTTTAAAATTTTCTAACTCTAATGGCCCATTTATAAACATAAGGCACAGTGGCATACAATAAAGAATAGCCCAGACCTAAAATTAGCTAAATCAAGACTACAGGAAATTCATCAAGAGACATACAGAGAAAAAGAGACAAGGAGAGAAAAGTAGGGGTGGGAGCAGTGACAGATATAAGCCTACAGATCGAAAGACTATAAGAAGCACATCATGCAATTTCCATGTTTGGATCCCAAGTGAACAAACTCAAAATTATTTGAGATCATCATAAAATTTGAACACTGACTGCATTCTTGAGTTGCATTTGTATGACTGATAATGACAGTGTCATGTATTTAATGCCCTTGTCTTTTGAAAACACATATTGATATTTTATTGAGGAAGTGATATGTCACCAGCATGGCAGCAAGGACTGGGTGGAGAATAGGATAAAACAAGACTGGCTGTGAGTTCATCGTTGCTCATACTGGTGATAGGTATATGGCAGAGTTTCATTCCATTCTTCCCACTTTCATATACATTTGATACTTCTAATATGTATATATTTTCCAATTATTTTTACTGGAAGTGCTGACTTACAGAGGAGAAACAGAAAGATCTTACATCTGCTGGTTCATTCCCCAAGTGGCTGCAACAGTCGGAGGTGAGCCAATCTGAAGCCTGGAGCCTCTTGGTCTCTGACACAGGCGAAGGGTCCCAAGGCTTTGGGCCATTCTCTACTGCTTTCCCAGGCCACACACAGGGCGCTAGATGGGAAGTGGAGCAGCCAGGATATGAATTGGCGCCCATATGGGATCCCAGCAGATCAAAGGGGAGGATTAGTCAACTGAGCCATAGCACTGGTCCTACATTTGAAACGTTCCACAACAAGCTACAAAAGACAAAGTTCAGTGGCCAGCACTGTGGCTAGCCGGTAAAGCCAGCACCTGCAACACCATCATTTCATATGGGAACTGGTTCAAGTCCTGGCTGCTCCACTTCTACACCTTGCTAATGGCCTGGAAAGCAGCAGAGGACGGCCTTAGTCCTTAAGCCCCTACATGCGACTGGGAGACCAGGGAGAATCGCCTAGCTTCTGGCTTTGGACTGGCTCAGCTCTGGCTGTTGTGGCCATTTGGAGAGTAAACCAGCAGATAAAAGATAAAACGTCCTTCTCTTTCTTTTTAACTCTATCCCATACAAATATGTATATTTGTATATATATATTTGTGCGTGTATAAAAAGATGAAGCTTTCAGGATTAGACAGCCTGGTTTCTGACTTTCCTACAATTCATGGTAGTGAACAAATGCATTTTATCATGGCCTAAGTTTCTAGTTTGCATTTTTAAGAACTTTCAAAATACAAATGACATTTCTCTAACTGTACACTTCCTTATTATCCATCACTTTCTTTTGTAAACACTCCAAGTCATCTACATTCCTATCATGTTCCATAAGGCACTGAATGCAGTCAAGACCCAACACCAACACACCATCTTCCTAATACTTAGGTTCTGACACACAAGATTATATAAAAAAAAAGTTTATTAAGTACAGTTTCACATTTAGAAATTCCAAGTTTACAAATGTGATCAGTTCTTTAGGATACATAATTTATTCTTAAAATACACAATCTATACACATACACTAGAAACTCATTCTCCAAAATACTCAACAAAGATGTCTGGGTGACACTTATAGAACTGACCTAGCAATTTTTTCTTCTCTTTGGCAGACAGTTTTGAGTCCTCATCAATAGTTTTTATTAAGTTCAAGAGCTCATCTTTGGTTGTCTTCTGTGTACTGTTGGAATAGTCACTTTGATTGATTCTCTGGCAATAAATATACCCTTACAAAGGTAAAAAAAAAAAAAAGTTCACTTAGGACAGTATTCCTTTAATACAAATCAGTTAATATTTGATACTTGTTTTCTTCTTCCATTTTATAAAGTACATTGAAGAAATAAGCACTAGTGACTTTTTTGTTAAAAAATCCTGCACAAGTTGCTTTCTGGATAGTTTCTGTGCTAAATCTGTATAACTGAGAAAAATATTTAGAATTCAGTTTAAATAAAAGTGTAAAATACTTTCAAATAAGCACTAGCAATCTGTCTTTGGAAGGTAATGAAAATAAAATTTCTCAGATTACCTGCATCTTTATTTGGGTCTCTTCCCTTCTGTATGGCCAAAAGTTTAATACTGACAATTTTATGTAGAGTTCCAGGAATCTTAAGAAAAAGGAACATGGGGCATTATTCGAATATATTATAATCTAGCAATCTACTAAATAAAACCCTGTAGTTGGTTCAACTTAGCTTACCTTGAAAACATCTTTTTGATGATCCATTAAAAAGAGTATCAGAAGGTCAGTTTTGCCTTTGGATAAGTTTTTGTTGTCAACAATGGCTTTTGAGAATATCCTTTTCACAACCATTCGATTGTCACTCTACAAATAGAAAACACACTGCATGTATTTAGAAGACTCAAGTTTGATTTCTTTTCATAAGAAAGGGAATATTGGCAGCTGTTATCCATTTCAGCATGCCTGCTATTGAAGAGGCAGTAATTTGACACATGGGTCTTATAAGTATTAGATTCTCAATACAAGTAACATTTAAACAAAAGACTTACTTCTTTCTGTAATTTAAATTCAGAAGGATGTGCCGCGACAGCCATGAAATACAGCAGTCTTCTGAATTCTTCTCTATTTTGGGGATCCAAAAGCTTCAGAAAGAGCTGAGTAGCTTCTAATGCTATTTCAGTCTTCCCATTCACTTTTGCCAAAAAAAAAAAAAAAAAAAAAGAACCACTTTCAATCGACCAATCATGACTGTATTCAAGGGAAAAAAACTCAAGTTACAGCTTAAATCAAACAGTACATTTATTCAAAATTGCTTCCAAAAACCAAAACAAGACTAGGAATTACAGTGAATGACCCATACCATAAAGGAAGCCTGTTTTCCAGTTGGCAACTAATTGCCTAAGTTCTTGTAACATAGTAGCTTAGATCATTAAATCCAGCTCTTGGCTTTGAGGACAAACTCCCAGCCTGTACTTTTCATTAACTCGATACATTCTAGGGGCTTGCTATGTGCATGAAGCTGCTATATCCATCTCTACCTAGGAAAAACAAAAGGAATCTTTTTGACACTTCAGGTTGGTTTAAACAGCCCATGTGGAACAGTCTGGCTCACTGATGGAGGGACATGGGAGTGGTGGTGCTGCTGGTAATTCCCAGAAGAGAAAGCTGGGGCCTGCGTTGTGGCAAGGTGGGTAAAGCCACAGCCTGTGACAGGGGCATTCCACAAGGATGCCAGCTCATGTCCAGGCGGTTCCATTTCTGACCCAACTCTCTGCTAATAGTCTGGGACTAGAACCAGATGATGACCCGAGCCCTGGGCCCCTGCCATCCACATAAGGAAACCCGGGTGACTTCAGCCTGTTCCAGTCCTGGCTGCTGCAGTCATCTAGGGAGTGAAAGAGTGGATAGATCCTTTTTTTCTCTCTCTCCTTAACACTCTCAAATGAATCAATCATTCTCAAAAAAGAATTTCTGCTCCAACCTAATGATTTTAGTGAATTGAGGGGATTTTCCTGTTGCAATCGGAAGTTTCCAATAGCATTAGAGTTCACCCATGCCTCTTTCCAAAGGAACAGTAACAGATTTTAAAATAACCATATTTTCCATGAATTAATCCAGATTCTGCCTTCAGGTAGTGCTATCTTGGTTACTCTTGAAAAGAACGACCATTTTCCTCTTTCCTTACTAAAATAAATTCTATCTGGAAGGCTCTTACTTACCTAGGAGTTCTGCAATTCCATTGTGAACATCAGATAAATGATTCAACAGAGGCTCCCTATGACTGTAGTATTTGCTAATGGCATCAAACAGAAGTCCTTTCACCACATCTGTGCCATCTGGTTGCTCAGGGAAGTTTCTGCTTATGTCCACCACCAAATGGTCTGGGAAGTACTCTAAGCAGTCGATCGCTGCCGACAGCCATTCGTCTTCCCTGGGTCAGAGAGACAGGCCAGGACACCAAAAATTTATGTTGACAGCATAAACCACTATACATTTAAAGATATGTTTAATTCAATTTCAAAAAATGAAATAGAAACAGACACACGTCTTATTTGCTGGCCTATTATACAAATACCGACAAGAGCCTAGAACTCAATCCCGGTCTCCCACATGGGTGGCAACAATGCAAATACTTGGTGAGCCACTACCACTGCATCTACCATTACCACTAGCAGGTGCAAGAATCAGGAGCCAGGCATGGCGCTGTGGCCTAGTAGCTGAAGACCTCGCCTTGAATGTGCCTGGATCCCATATGGGTGCCGGTTGTAACCCCGGCATCCCCACTTCCTGTCAGTTGAGGACGGCCTAAAGCTTTAGGATCCTGCACCCGCAGGGGAGACCTGGAAGAGATTCAGGGCTCCTGGCTTCGTATTGGTTCAGCTCCAGCCATTGCAGTCACTTGGGGAGTGAGACTGATCTTCCTCTCTGTATATCTGACTTTGCAGTAAAAATAAATAAATTTAAAAAAAATAAAAGTTAAAGATTCAAGAGCTGGAGCCAGGGATCAAACCAAACCCAGACACTCCTAAACTACATGTTAACTGCTTAATACATAGCTGAATCGTCTATCACAGTTAAACAGCAAGTATCCAGTCATCAAAATAGACAATCAAATGGCAAGTCATTTGCTCAGGCCCCAGGCAGGACCAGGACCCAGATCTGACCCGAGACCAGTCTCTCACTGATTCAGTGCAGCTTCTTCAGAGCTATGTATGCCATCTATCATTTCTCTGGCGAGGGCAGAACACATAACAACAGTTACAAGAGAATACAATTTCAACTACCATGTGTAGCAAAATGAAGCTGAAAAACTTCAGAAAAGCCTTAACATTTCAAGAAATGAAACGGCCAGCTCTCAAGCTCCAATCCGTTAACACAGTTCAGCAAGCGATCACGTTGTCTACGTCAAGGACCCGCAGAGCTGCTTCTGCGGATGACCCAGATGCATATCTTGGGCAAATCACTTCATCTCCAGCCCAAGCACTGGCGGGCTTAAGATCTACAGGAAGTGATCTCCACTGTGACTGCCAGCACTGACTGCATGGGAGAAGATAACTGTGAAACGCTTTCACCTGTTGCTCGAGGGTACAGAAATGTAAGCTGAAGTCTTGTAGAATAAGCCTTCTATTATGTAGGCCGACTTGAACAACTGGTATGTTGAGATTAACTTTTTCACATGAGGTGTTAAGCTACCTTTTGCCTCTTAGCTATTACCTTAATAGTTCATCTCAATGTATAACTAGTGAAGTACTGAAAATATAAGTTGTATTTTCCTCTCCTGAAATGGGCTGGCATACTATTTGTTAGAGTAACACAATTAAAAGTTGAATAAACTGGGGTCGGTTCAGTCATACATCAGGCTAATCTTCTACCTTGCAGGAACAGAATCCCTCATAGGCACCGGTTTTGTTCTTGGCTGCTCTATTTTCAATCCAGCTCTGTGCTTATGGCCTGGGAGAGCAGCTGAACACGGCCCAAATTTGGCTTCAGATCGGCTCAGCTCTGGCTACGGTGCCTATCTGGTGAGTGAACCAGTGGGTGGAAGGGCTCTTCCTCTGTAAAACTGCCTTTCAAATAAAAAAGAAATCATTCTTTAAAAATTGAATAAACTAGAAAATATCAGGGCAAGTTTTAAAGTTATGAGAAATACAGAACTATTCCTGGGTGAGGGGAGAATCTTAATTTCTGTAGCAGCTGAAGTTAAAACTTCAATTCTGAATATTTGTATTTAGTGTGTGCTTGTGTTGTGGGACATCAGATAAAAGCTACTGAAAAAAGAGGGGAAAGAAAAAAAAAAAGGTCAGGGACAGTTGTCTAATGGCTAAAGTCCTTGCCTTGAACGTGCTGGGATCCCATATAGCCACCGGTTCTAATCCCAGCTGCTCCACTTCTCATCCAGTTCCCTGTCTGTGGTCTGGGAAAGGAGTTGAGGATGGCCCAAAATCTTGGGACTCTGTACCCGTGTGAGATACCTGGAAGAGCTCCTGGCTCCGGATGAGCTCAGCACCAGCCAATATGACCACTTGGGGAGTGAACCAGTAGATGGAAGACCTTTCTTCTCTGTCTCTCCTCCTCTCTGTGAATATGACTTTCATAAATCTTTGAAAAAAAATAGCTGCAGGGTTGGCATCCCATTTGAGAGTCAGTCCAAGCTGCTCTGCTTCCAATCCAGCTTCCTGTTAATGTACTTGGGAGAGCATTAGAGGATGACTCAAATGCATGGGCCCCTGCCATGTGGCAGACCCAGAAGAAACTCTTGGGTCCCAGCTTCTGTCTGGTCTACTCCAACTATTGTGGCCATTTGAGGAGTGAACCAGTGGATGAAAGATAGCTCTCTCTTTCTCTTTTTCTTTTCTCTGCCTTTTAAAAGATTTATGCTTACCACCTGTAGCTACAATTCTCCTAAATCTTACTTTCATAAAACTAGTTTACTTAAAATTACATACTTCACAGGTATTCTAGAGGCATATAAAAGCATTTGTAGCTAAAAGGATTCCAAGAATTTATTTAGATTTTTTTAAAAGCAGATTTAAGACTTATTTATTTTTTATTTAAAAGGCAATTAGGAGAAACATAGATAAAAAGAGAAGGACTTCCCATCTGCTGGTTCACTCCCCAAATGGCTGCAATAGCCAGAGCTGGGCTAGATTATGTCTCCCCGTTGGGTGGCAAGGGCCTAGGCACTCGGCTCATCTTCCAGTGCTTTGCCAGATACATTAGCAGGGAGCCAGATCAAAAGTGGAGCGGCTAGGACTTGAGCTTGCGCCCCTAATGGCATGCTGGAGTTGCTGATGGTGGTTTATGCCGCTGACCCCTATCTGCTGTTCATCTTGGTCTAGGTCCTTCGGAGAAATCTTAGAAGACCAGACTTACATTTTCTTTGAGATAAGATGCAACACAATCACTTCTCTTGGTGTGCAAGTTATTTACATGTGAAACAACAATGATGTGAAAGTAACGACATTTAAGTTATTTTCTAAATTCAGTTCATTCTGTTTTTCTCAAATAACTGGCTATATCAACTGGCAACGCATATTTGACCCTATGGAAGGTAGAATTCCAATGATTATCTTAGAGCCATTCTTTATCATCTTCCTCCACACATACTCAGATGATCACATGTACTGACACATACTGTGAATCACCATAAGCCTTGAGAATCGCCCGATCCAGGTAGTTACTGCTGCTGACCAGGTCAGGCTGCCTGCTACACGCAGGAACTTTAGGGACCATCTGATGCCTGAGTAAGGAGTCAATAAGTGGCAGGTCTATCAGTTGTAGCAGTCGTGCAATTGTTTCTTCTTGCCATACTTCATTGATCACTACACAGGAGAAATGACAAGAGGAGTTAAAGGAATTACCAGTTACCGTATGCTCACAAGCGTTTTTATCTAGACAGGTCTCAGCTCATAAATTTGTCTCCCCCGCACCCTCGACTCCAAGGAAAGAACAAGTCAACTTTATGAAGCGCTTTCTTATAACAAAATAAAACAATCCAAGATCTGTTGGAAGTGTAGGAGAAACAGACTTTGGACAACAGGGATTCTTTTCATTCTCTGTATAAAGCAATCTGGCAGAGATAAGAGATCAAGTCATATAACATGTTAATAAGGGCTCTGGAAGAAAGGATGATTCATTCAATCTTGAAACTGGTTTGAAACGATTGGCCACAGACTGTTGCACCCAGGGTGCCCACAACTGGCATGGAGGAGGGAGGGAGGAAGTGGGAGCCAGCCAGCATGCTCCTGCCACACACAAGGAGGAACTGGAGAATTCTGTAAATGCCTTCCTGTGATGTTCAAATCTGTGCTTCCTCTAGTAAAATCTTGGGGAGAGCAACTTCTGAATCATGTTTTAACTAAAAATCTGCATGCCCAAAATTTCAGTTTTGAACCTCCGCCAGCTGATAGGACAAAAGTCAGTGTTCGAGAGTTGCAACACTGATGTGTTTGTTAAAGATAATAGACTTCTGTTAAAGCTGAATATAAGCAGCTTTAACACGGACTGTGCTCTCTCTGCATGCTGAATATTTAAATTCTAATAAAGGTTAAGATGGAAAAGATTGAAGCGCTTTTACTGAAAGTTAGGCTTCTGTTTCTTATTTTACATATCTTTGGCTTACCTTGTGGAGACAAGGTTGCAGAGAGATTTACATGAGGGGAGTTGGCAGGCTTCAAACTCAGATTTTCCCACAAATCCTCCAGACTTGCTGATTTGATCTCAGGTGACTTAAATAATGCAGCTGTATTCCTAAAATAAATTTATTTTATGAGGTAATGTTTGTTAGTATAACCACAGAAAAATTTCAGCGCTTTAGGGCTACAGTTTCTGGAAAGCTTATATATATTTCAGAACAAGCACACAAAAATGCAAATTCTAAACTATAAAAAAACCACTACAAATATGAAAGCACGCCACACGTTTGTTTCTTAAGTCTAAGCAAATAGTCTAAATCGGGGCCCAGCACATAAGCCTCATGGCTGGAGTCCTCGACTTGTTTGCCTGCACTGGGATATCACAAGTGCGCTGGTTCATATATCAACTGCTCCACCTTCCTTCCAGCTCCCTGCTTGTGGCCTGGGAAAGAGTCAAGGACGGCCCAAAGCCTTGGGACCCTGTGACCACGTGGGAGACCCAGAGGAGGCTCCTGGCTCCTGACTTCAGATTAGCTCAGCTCCGACTGTTGCAGCCACTTGGAGAAGGAATCAGAGGATAGATCATTCTCTCTGCATATTCTTCTCTCTGTAAATCTGACTTTTCAATAAAAATAAATAAATCTTAAATCCATGTCTAAGTTAGCAGTGATACTTTTTGAAAAATATAGTATTTTTTGAAGGTATTAGTTTATCTGTTTTAACTGGGGCTGTCACTTTTTTCTTTATTCCACCTAGAGTGAAATTCTAGTATTTCTAGAAAAATATTGTACCCCTTTGGTTATCTAAAATGTTGATTAAAATGTGCCTCCTCTTCTAGAACTTGTAAATAAGAACTATCCCATATTCAGTTGCTTTTTTTTTTAAGTTAATAAACTTTATACTTTCTGGAAAAAAAATACTGTAAATGAATTCTCCCTTTAACATCTAGATTTCAAAAAAAATTTTTAAGGATTTATTTATTTGAAAGTCGGTTTCTGAGAGAGGAAGGACTCTTCCACTGGCTGGTTCACTTTCCAAATGGCTGTTCAGGGCTAGAAGCAGGCCAGGCCAAAGCCAGGACGTTTATCTGAGTCTCCCACGTGGGTGCAAGGGCCCAAATATTTGATCCATCTTGTACTGCTTTTCCAGGCCATGAGCCGGGAGCTGGGTCAGAAGTGCAGCAGCCGGGACACGGGCAGCAACCATGTGGGACACCTGCGTCACAGGCAGTGTCACAATGCCAGCCCCTTTGCGTCACGTAGATTTACTTTGTTTGAAAATCAGAGTTCCAGAGAGAGCATGAAAGCTCTTCCTTCTCCTGATTTATGATTGGCCAAAGCTAGGAGCTCCGTCTGGGTCACAGGGCAGGAGCCCTTCCGTGACTTTCCCAGGCCATTAGCAGGAAGCTGAATCAGAAGTGAAGCAGCTGAACATGAATCAACACCCACACGGGATGATGGCATCAAGGACAGTGGCTTTACCCACAGTGTCACAGCACCGGTCCTATAATATCTGCCTTTAAGTAATTCCGTGACAAAAATTCTAGTCACCAACTTGAAAAACAAACTTGATGATGCTCACCAATTCTTTTGTTGTTTTTTTTAAAAAAAGATTTATTTTTATTAGAAAGGCAGATTGACAGAGAAAAGGAAAACAGATATTCCATCCAGTGGTTCACTACCTAAGTAGAACTGAGCCTATCTGAAGCCAGGAGCCAGGAGCTTCTTCTGGGTCTCCCACATGGGTGCACGGTCCCTAGGCTCTGGGCAGTCCTCAACTGCTTTCCCAGGCCACCAGCAGGAGAGCTGGATGCAAAGTGGAGCAGCAGGTACATGAACTGGTGCTCTCCTGGGATCCCAGCACTTGAAGAGAAAAAAATTAGCCAGTCAAGCCATTGCACTGCACCCCAGTTATCTCTACTTCTAAGGCATTCTTTGAAAATGGTGGGAACTGTCTCCCAAAGGCAGATCTATGATCCTTTACCTTGCACATGATACATGCGCAAAACGACCTTTCTAAATACACAACTTGTCCCAAGGGTTTCAGATACATAAGCCTGCATTGAGCGTGTTTATCATGCCTGAAAGAGTTCAAATGTATTTGGGCACAGTGAAATGGCTCAACAGCTATATCCTTGCCTTGCACACGCTGGGATCCCATATGGGTACCAGTTTGTGTCCCAGCAGCTCCACTTCCCATTACACTCCCTGCATGTGGCTTGGAAAAGCAGAAGAGGTTGGTCCAAGGGTTTGGGACCCGGCATCCACATGGGAGACCCAGAAGTAGCTCCTGGCTTCTGGCTTGAGATTGGCTCAGCTGTAGCTCTCGCAGTCATTTAAGCAATGAATCAGCAGATGGGAGATCTTTCTATTTCTTTCTGTCTATATGCCTACCTTTTCAATAAGAATAAATAACTTTTTTGAAGAGCTAAAACATATTTCAAGATGAGCTGGGGACTGGCTCCGCCAATGAAGCTGCAATCCACATCTATCTGAGTGGCTTGTTGCAGTCTTGCCCATCAGCTTCTGCTTTGGCCTTTGCTGATGCACTCCTGAGAGGCAGCAGAGAGCAGCTGAAGTGCCTGTGTTCCTGGCACTGAGTGGACACTCGGATAGAGTTCCTGGCTCAGGCCAGGTACAGCCTGGCTGCTGTAGGCACCTGGGCAATGAAGCAAGAGATATTTCTCCCTCCCTTCCTCCCTCCATCTTGTTCTGCCTTTCAAGTAGACAGAATTAAGTATTTAAAATATATATATGTGGCCCAGCGCAATATCCTAGTGGCTAAATCCTTGCCTTGCATGTGCCGGGATCCCATATGGGGCTGATTCATATCTCAGCTGCTCTACTTCCCATCCAGCTCCCTGCTAATGGCCTGAGAAAGCAGTGGAGAATGGCCCAAAGCCTTGGGATGTTGCTCCTGCATAGGAGATCTGTAAGAAGCTCCTGGCCCCAGATTGGCTCAGCTCCAGTCGTTGTGGCCACTTGGGGTTGAACCAGCAGATGAAGATCTTTCTGTCTCTCCTCTCTGTACATCTGACTTTGCAGTAAAAATAAATAAATAAATAACTCTTCAGAAAAAAAAGTTTGAAGGGAAATACCCTAAAACGTGAGGTTAGATCTGAATGAATTAAAAGAACATCAGGCACACTGTCACCTCTGCACAGTTTACCTGAGGAACAGGTACACTTTATGAATATTATATAATAAATAACAAAATTCACCATGTGCCCATTTAACATAATTGGGCCCCACATTTCTGTCTCCCTCGTCCACCCCCTGAAGTGACGCCATCACTTGGCCATGCAGCTAACTTCAGTTCTCATCTCCCCCAAGCAGCAATACCACCACAGATTCCTAACCAGAGCTCCCAGGGGAGCCCAGACAACGGCCAGGATGACTTTTCTAAAATACATGGGGATTTAAAACAAAATTTTTAATGAAAATGAAATGCATTGGGCCTGGTCTGATGGGCTCAGCTAGCTGATCCTTTCCTTGCAAGCGCCAAGATTCCACGTGACTGCTAGTTTGTGTTCCAGCTGCTCCACTTTCCCATCCACTCCCCCAAGCAGCCGCAACAGCCGGAGCTGCGCCGATCCAAAGCCAGGAGGCCAGAGCCTCCTCCAGGTCTCCCACACGGGTGCAGGGTCCCAAGGCCTTGGGCCGTCCTCGACTGCTTTCCCAGGCCACAAGCAGGGAGCTGGATGGGAAGCGGGGCTACTGGGAATAGAACCGGCACTCAAATGGGATCCCGGAGCATTCTAGGTGAGGACTTTTAGCCGCTAGGCTACCACGCCAGGATCCCAAGTAGCATCTTAATCAACTATGCTAAACGCCGCCCCCTATGCAGATAGAAACATCAAAGTTTGTTGGTTGTTGCTACTACATGGAAAATAAGAACAAAATGCCATTTGCAACAAATACAACTGAATTGGAAATCATTATGCCAAGTGAAATAAGCCATATCCAGCAAGACAAATATCCCATTTTCTCTTATTTGAGGAAGTTACTTAACAGATAGAGTATAAAATTGATTAGCTATCACATCACTTGGTATGTGGTTATATGCGTTGCTTCCCTGGAGCATCAACATACAAGATAAAATACCCACTTTCCCCCATGCTATGATCATGGGTCCCTCGGTTTATGATATTAGCATATGTTCCCAAGAAAAAATAGCATCTATGTCTATATATAAAATGTCTATATTTGAACAGGCCAAAGTGTTCAAAGACTGCCTAATTTCAAACCCAAAAAATAATAAATTCATATTCTGAAAATTGAACTAAACAAGTCTAAGAGTTACCATACTTCCCTGCTTACACATTCAACATCTCATTACAATATATATATAGAGAGAGAAGCAAAACCCTGCAGCCATTTCCCTCAGAGCCCGAGACTGCACACGAACCTGGAGGGTGAGGTTGACCTGTTTTCTTTGCCTGCCTGGCCGTCCTGGTTCGGTATCGTTGTGAATCGATAGAGGCTGCAACTACTGTCTTCAAACGTAGGCTTTTTGTCCTTTCCAAAGACCCTGGTGGGAACCGCTTCAAAGACCTTGTAGTCCATAAGCGCCTGACACACTCTCACGACTTTGGCCCGAGGAATATCGACATCACCGAAGTACTTATTCTGCATCAGGTGAGCGTAAATGACATCCACGGCTTCTGAACCCACAAAGCAGTCATTGTGTCGTTTTAGGTGATGCCTGCGTTTTTTCACCTCCACCTGTGTTTGAAGAGTGTTTATAATGCTGCTCCACACGTATGTGGCTCCAAATGGCTTCTGGGCCACACTGAAACCTAGAGGGAGAAAATTGCCGAGAACGTGAGAATGATGCTTTGTTCATTTGTTGGAAGGTCTTAACACCTATCCAGAGATATGAAGAAGAAGCAATCATGAGGGAAACACACTATCACTATTAATGGCAACTCATTTTTTAAAAACGTAGTGTCTTCTGTATATCAGACAGTGTTATATCTGCTAGGACACAAGAGTTCACAGAATGATGCCTTATGGACACAGATTCTGCAAGAAGACACAGGTAGAATGGAGATGTGATTACTGCTGAAAGGAACAGCTGGGTACGGCGGCCAGCGCTGTTTTAAAGCGGGACTATGGTTATGTGTTTCAGTAGAAATCAGCAAAACTAGGAGGCAAGCTGTTCCCAGACCTCCAGGGAAAGCGCAGAGGGAACATGAAGGACCAAGCTCCGAGGTGGCAGGGTGCCTGACCAGCAGGAGGCAGAGGGCGACAGCAAGTGGGAGCAGCCGGCGGAGCTGTGACTTGAGACTGCAGGGGCAAGCGACGTAAGTCGACCCTTGCAGCAGCCGGGAGCTGTGTTCAGGGAACTCTGTTAGTGCCTTTTAGAAATCATCTCGTTTTCTCTAGCAGTCCCTTGAGGTAGACAGCATCGTTTTGTGATGGATTCAAAACACATTCCCAGGAGCCAGTGCTGTGGCATAACCGGTAAAGCTGCCACCAGTGGCACCAGCATCTTGCATGGGTGCTGGTTCTTTCCCAGCTGCCTCGTTTGCAATTCAGCTACCTGCTAATGGCCTGGGAAAAGCAGCAGAAGACGGCCCTCGTGTTTGGTTCCCTGCTCCCATGTGCGAGACCCAGATGAAAACCCTGGCTCAGGCCTAGTTTAGTTTTGGCCACTGTAGTCATGCGGTGAGAGACCCAGCAGATGAAAGATCTCTCTGTGTCTGCCTGTCTCTTCCCCACCCCAACTCTGGCTTTCAAAAATAAATAAGCCTTTAAAGCAAACAAACAGAGCAGATTCATAGAGGTCACACATAACTTGTACACATTACAGTGAAGATCACACTGGAACTGGGACTGCTAAGACTCCAGGTATGTATCAGCCAGATGCAGACACACTTTAGGAATAAATTCATATATTTTTTTTTTTAAAGATTTATTTTTATTATTTTTTCATTGGAAAGGCGGATATACAGAGAGGAGAGACAGAGAGGAAGATCTTCCATCCGATGATTCACTCCCCAAGTGAGCGCAACGGGCCGATGCTATGGGGGTCCGAAGCCAGGAGCCTCTTCCGGGTCTCCCACGCGGGTGCAGGTTCCCAAAGCTTTGGGCCATCCTCGACTGCTTTCCCGGGCCACAGGCAGGGAGCTGGAAGGGAAGCTGGGCTGCCGGGATTAGAACCGGCGCCCATATGGGATCCCGGGCGTGCAAGGCGAGGACCTTTAACCACTTGCGCCACCGCGCCGGGCCCTAAATTCATATTTTTAAAGCTTCCTATTTTGTAGGCTTTTAAATTAAGTAAGCACTCTGTAAGCACAGTTAAGCAACAATTTGATTTCTGCGCTTCAGAATGACTTACTACAAAGTTGGAGGGACACAAAGATTTTAGCTAAATACAAAATGAAAATAAGCCTCCAAAGCTTCCTATCATATTTTCCCTCATTTGTAATAAACCGATGGCAGAACGACAAAGGGAAACTAGGAAGGAAGAAATGGGCCTTGGGTTTCAGTCGTCTGCAGGGACAGAGCACAGCTATGTGCCTTGAGCCAGCTGCTTCGCTCTGCATTTTCCGTTACTCAGAAAACTCAGTACTCCAGATGAGAGCCCCTGTCTGTCTGTCTTTCTCTCTCTCTCCTTCCTTCCTTCCTTCAACATATTAGCATGTCATCTGTGATGCCCAACTACCTACTGGGCAGCTGAGTTTGTGAGTCCTGGCTCCACTCCAATTCATACCAGCCTCTTGCTAAGACGTATGCTGGGAAGCAGCAGGTCAGCCTCAGTTGGGCCCCTGGTACACGTGTGGAGGACACAGCCCGAGTCCTGAGTTCCTGCCTGTCCGGGTTCCAGGCCTGGCTGTCCTGGGACATTTGAGAAGTTAACCAGTAGGTGGAAAACACCGATTTTGATCTCCATCTCTCCCCCTTTCACAAAAACTTAAAAAAAAAAAAGTAAGAAATTGAAATTACTTTCTTACTCTTTTAAACATACAGGATGCACTGATTTTGAGAATAAGAAAAATTCCTTAAGAAATGAAATGCTTGCTTACTGCACCGTGAATTTTTAAGTGGGTCATTTGGTATGTATACTGCCAACGTGAACACTTAAGGGGGTCATTTCAAATTCATCTTGTGTTACAATAATTATAAGAACACTGAATCATTACACTATATTCACTTACACATCATTTTTTTAAAAAAGATTTGAATGGCAGAGTTAGATAGGGAGAGAAATACAGCATAATTCTGCAGCTACTAGCAATTTTGACATCTTCGCCATAAAGTTCACAGTACATGCATACACAAAGCCCTTGACTAATTACTTGTATGTTTCCAATACCAAAAGTACATGGGTAATTTATCACTTACCAATTGTTATGTTTACAATGACACTGTTTTTAACCAAAATTATGTTAAGATTAAATACTTTATAAGCCAATACCAAAAGAAGAAATTGTTAGCAGTCTCACAAGCATCATATGGGTAGCTTCAAAAACTGAATCATGGGCCCAGCGCAGTAGCCTAGTACCTAAGTCCTTGCCTTGCATGTGCCAGGATCCCATAGGGGTGCCAGTTCTAATCCCGGCTGCTCACTTTGCTTCCAGCTCCCTCCTTGTGGCCTGGGAAAGCAGCAGAGCACAGCCCAAAGCCTTGAGACCCTAAACCTGTATGGGAGACTTCAAAGAAGCTCCTGGCTCTTGGCTTCAAATTAACTCAGCTCTGGTCGTTGCGGCCACTTGGGGAGTGAACCAGTGGACAGATGCAAGGTCTGTCTCTCTGTCTCTCCTTCTCTCTGTATATTTCACCTTGCAATAAAAATAAATAAATCTTTAAAAAAAAAAAAACACAACTGTGAAAAACTAACTAGTCTTGTCAAGCTGGAAATAAATTTATGACAATCAGTATTTATTTAGATTTACTCTATAATGAATAAAGCTGGAATAAGGAATCTGAGGTAATCACAAAATAACCCCATATTATTTATACCCAGAACTCAGGGCACCCCAGTGTTTGCACCTGTTCCAGAGATCACAACTGAAATTTTAGTGAACTAAATTTTTTTTTCAAAGATACAATTTTTTTTTAAAGATTTATTTTATTTTTATTACAAAGACAGATATACAGAGAGGAGGAGAGAGAGAGAGAAAGTGGAGCTGCTGGGATTAGAACCGGCAACCATATGGGATCCCGCTACATTCAAGGCGAGGCCCTTAGCCACTAGGCCACGCCACCAGGCCCATGAACTAAATTCTTTTCTCTGAGGTTTCAACTCTTCACTGTAGTAGTAATAGCTAATATTTGAGTATATACAACGTGTCAGGCTGTCTCCTCTCAGGTTATCCTGTTTGACTTCTGTGGACGTTCTTAATCTTACTTTGTGGAAATTAAGGCTTGGTGATGTAAACAAACTTGCTCTCCACAACTTAGTTGGTAAATATAAGTTAGCTTGTCCTTACATATATAAGTTAAGCCACGGGCCTGGCACAGTAGCCTAGTGACTAAAGTCCTCGCCTTGTACGCTCTGGGATCCCACAAGGGTGCTTGTTCTAATCCTGGCAGCCCCACTTTCCATCCGGCTCCCTGCTTGTGGCCTGGGAGGGCAATCCAGGACGGCCCAAGCCTTGGGACCCTGCATCCACGTGGGAGAACAGGAAGAGGCTCCTGACTCCTAGCTTCGGATTGGCTCAGCTCTGGCCACTGAAATCACTTGAGGAGTGACTCATTGGACAAAAGATCTTCCTCTCTGTCTCTCCTCCTCTCTGTATAAATCTTTAGGGAAAAAAAAAAAAAAAGGTCAAGCCACCAGAGAAATGGATTTAGCATCAACCTTTCACTGGAGCCTGGAATTAAGTAAAATAGCTTTAAGATAGTAAAAAGATTAGAAGAAACATAATGGAAACCTCTAAGGCTTGTGAACCGCCAACTAAAGTATTAAAAACAAAACCTGTTAGTAATCAGGATTCCTAACGTAAGGCAGGATAGCATAAAGTGCAAACACTGAGAAAGGGAAGCACACTTGGACAGACCAGCCTGCCTTTAGCTGCCGTGAAAAACACTTCTGAACTATCACACTGTTACAGGGGCAACCCACAGCCATAACACTCGAGCTACAAGTAGGTCAACGCATACAATTTAAACATCTATTCATTTCAGATTAACAGGACAAACAGCAAGGGGGAAAGGAGAGAGCCTCTATGGTCTCAGGGACGTGGAAAAGGCCAATCTTCACGTGAGAATTAAGAGGGAAGGAACACATTTCCCCGTATTAACTTGATGCAGAAATGTGGGAAATCAGGAAGTTTTTCAAGTTGACTAACGCTGCATAAAAGATTACAAAACAGGTTAGAGCAGGATAGTAGGCACCTGTGAGCCACATAATACTTCAAGAATCTTCCAGGCATGATAGAGTTCAGCCCTTTCAGGTCCCTTCTGTTCTCAGTGTCCATTAATTTCCAGCCATTGCATCCTGGGATATTTCCCCTAAAGCACCACCAACACCGTCAGACCCAAACTAGCTCATGTTCATACATGTATACTTTAATATACTTTGGACTTGACAAGTAAACGTGCCAAGACCCACACCAGGGCAACCTGTTTATTTACTGCTGACTTCATCAGTTGAATGCAGATCTCCCCCCCCCCCCGCCCCATGCTGGTTTAAAACCTATTTACCATCATCAAGAGCTGAACTGAATAATGATAGAGAATATAGCCCAGTAGGATGACCTACTGTGGTTTCTAAATACAATTTAAAAGCCCAGTAGTATGCACGGAGTGCTTTGTAAGTCTAGCAATCAGCACTTAAGCTTCAGCTTGT